GAGCGGGGACGCCCGACAGCGCCCCCTCCCTGCGGCGCGGGACCCTGGATCTCGGCCAGGCGCTGCCTCGCGGAAGGCGGGGTCAGGGTGACAGCCTCCTCCCGCGGCCGCGGGGCCGCGCGAGGGGGCGGTGCATGGCGTCAGACCCTTGGGGACCGTCACCTTTGCCAGTCTCGGGAGCCCACTCTTCGGCACCGCCTTGCGCCACTTTCCGTGGGGGCACCGCCCTCACCCCCTCGCCTTTACATCGCCCAGGTCTGGGTCCCCTACCCCGGAACTGTGATTAGCGCGTAGTTGCGCTGGTGCCAAGGTCTTGATCACGTGTGGCTGCAGCTCCTGCGCTGGTTCCCTTGCGGAGCGTGGGGCTCCGCTCTCCGCTGCGTGGGTGCCTTTCAGGATGTGGTTGTGGGGTCCCCTCCATTATCTGTACCACCTTTAGGGACAGACTCGGATCCAGACTCAGAATCGCTTGCTAGCAAGGTGGGCAAGTTACTTACGTGGTGCGGTAAAAACAAACAAAAAACAGTGAATGTTTACATTTGAAAAATTTGTTAAGACTAAAAGATACATTGCCCCTTGGGGATTAACTCAGAGGCTCAGCACCTGCCTGGCAAGCGCAAGGTCATGAGTTCAATTCCCTGCACCGAAAAAAACAAAAAACAAAAAACGTGTACATTGCCTTTATTTGCCCTTAATCCCCTTCAAAAACCTCCCCCTTTCTTCGAGCACACTTATCCCATCCATCTTGCCACTTTCTGAAGCAGCTCAGGAAGTCCTCTTTTGCGAGTGTCTTTAGTGGTGCTGTCCTGGCAGCCTCGATGTCCTGGATGAATTAAAATCATTTACCTATCATGGTCCTTTTGACTTTGGGGAAGAGCCAGAAGTTGCACAGTGCCAGATCTGTTGAACAAGGTGTAGGAGGACACACTGTCACGTTTTTACAAGCTTGCCTTTCTGCGGGATGGTACTTAGCCGCAACATTCACCATGGTTTTTTTTTTTTTAATCAGATTTTTTTAGTGTGTATGTTTTTAAATCACACTTGGAAAGCACACTTTCAAAAAAAAATTTCACCTATGCAGAGGACTTCCAGAACTTCTTTAAAAAGCAGCAAGGATCATTTTTATTGTTCTCAATGCTGTATGTATTTGTTTTTGTTATTTTGGTTTTTTTCTTTCGCTTTAAAATGAAAAACGAAATTTATATGTATATACAAGGATAGCTGGGATAGGTGTATTGCTGATGTCTGTGGTTTATTGAAAGGAACAGTCAGTGCTTAAAATTTTCTTTTTTCTTAACCAATTTTGCACGCTTGAATCTGGTAATCAGAACAGTTGATCTGAAAACAACAATATGCAGTATAAGAACCATTGTTGAACTCCTGCCATCTTATACAGTGAAGCGCTGCATCATTTCCAATGTTTATTTTATTTTATTTTATTTTATTTTTTGTCTTTTTGAGACAGGGTCTCACTATGCAGTTCAGGCTGGCATTGAGTTCACTTTGTAGCCCAGGCTGGTCTCAAACTCACAACGATCCTCCTGCCTCAGCCTCCTGAGTGCTGGGATTAGAGGTGTGTGCCACCACGCCCGGCTCCAATGTTTTTTTTATTACTTGTTACTGTCTTGGATTGTTTGATCCATCTTACATTCTTACATCTGGTGGATTGAGCAACTTAGTTGAAAATAATAGTATATAAGGTAGCATACATTGTTAATTCCTTTCATTTTGTTTTGAGGTCATGTATCGTTTTTGTGTTGTTTTGATTTTGTCTTCACTGTTGTTTTGTTAGTTTTTTTAATCTTTAAAATAAAATTTTAAAAAAAGCAGCAGGAAGAGCAGGAGCAATGTGTTTGAAGCAGGGATCGTATCTAGAGGGAGATGAATGGCACTATGTCTTTTACTGTAATAAATTTAAAAAAACTTTAAACACTCACTGCGTGGTTGATCATGCTTTGTAATGCCAGGTCTTTCATTTGTAAAATGGAACAATGCCCACTCACTAAATTTGTTAGGAGGAAACATTGAGCGTAGTTGATACGTTCAGCTCATCATAGTGTCCAAAGTCATGCCTGTGGCCCTCTGTCAAGCCACTAGTAGGGTTGAATAGTTAGGCCACCAACTAGTACGTAAAATCATATGTCAGAGCAGCATCAAGACTGAGCATACTGTGGTCATGTTTCCACGACATTCTTCATTCATGCAAAACTTGCAAACATTTTATTCTGTCCTCAGAATGACTGAGGATCTCTAGTGTCAACCCTTCTCTGGTGCTCCATTACTGCGGAGGTGGGAGCATCTTGCTGACTGTTCCGGAGCACGTGGGCTTTTCACCTGTTTTCTAGGATGCTACATTATCTGGGACCTGGCCACGATCCCCAGCTGCTCATATGAGGGGTACTGTGAAAGGATGAAGTCAGCAACAGTGATACATGAAGAGGGCTGGGAGGTCAGTGCCTCAGGATGGGCAGAGACAAGGACACTCCAAGCCAGCCACTGTTTATTGGGTGTAGACAATGACAGGAGGGGCCAGTGGAAGATTTAGGGTTGGCAGAAGACTCAAGGTTGATGACTCATTGGGCAACAGATAACTGAGGGAGATGATCTTATACTATGAAGGATCTTGCCCTGAAGTGTTTTTTAATCTTAGTGCTTTCAGTTTTGTGTTGGTGGGTGGGAGAGGAAGACCCATCCCTAGAGAGATAATGGGAAATCTCAAAAGGGTGATACTGATAATCCCAAGCCTCTCTTTATCCCTTAGGGAGGTATGCCAAATTAGCCATTGTGAGAATTTGTGCTCCACACAACCAGATTCTTGTGCAAATCGCACAATCAAGGGCTGTCCTTGAACTGTTGACTTTGACCTCTGCTGAGTTATATATCCTCTGTTTTGTGCCAGTCGCTGCTGGCAGCAGTGGTTAACTGCGGAGTTTAATCTTGTGTGTGCATGTGCGGTTCAACAGTGAAGGATTTTGGAGGAGGGAGCTCTGATCGGTCCCCAGGGCTGTCGACCAGGACTAGGGAGCTAGGCTTTCATACCTACTGCCTGCAGAGGGCGCGCCGCCGATAGCTTGATTTTGCTTGGGCTGGGTGACGGCGTTCAGCTTGAGACCTCAGTCGGCTGAGACTCTGAAAAGCAGTCAATCGTGAATCTCCTGTTCCAAAATTAAGCTGATTATCTTTTTTGTTTTGTTTTTCCCGGTACCGGGGATCGAACTCACGACCTTGCGCTTGGTGGGCAGGCGCTGTGCCGCTGATCTAAATCCCCAGCCCCAATCTGATTATCTTTTTAATGATCTATTTCAAACAGCGCCCACTCCCCTTATCCATCCGGCATAGTCAGTAGGTATGACACTTGGGTCGAAAATACTTTTTAGGGTACAACAAAGGTTTAATTTCTTTTAAAATCAGAAGAAAAAATGAACTTAGGTGGAATATTAACATATTAATCTCTGTACCAACGCAGACATAAAATTTGGTGAAGGAAGGGTCCTCACAATGGCAAAAGGGCCAACAGCCTGGGAAATTCATACTGTGGTCCTCTCCTCTCCCACTGTTTTGTGGCCATGCAAGATGGGAACAGTTCCCTCCTAGCTCCTGTCTTAATTCTAAGGGGTCCTGATGCCTGCCTCTCCCCACCGCCCCACCGCCCCGGCCTGGCTGTGTGCTCACTGGGCCTATAGAACAAGAGTGCTGGGTGACAGGGAGTTTTTATTCTGTTCTCCTTAGCCTGCCCTTGTCCTGGGCACCCCTCCCTGCACCCTTTCCTTTATCCACCTTCTTTCCTACTTGCTATAATGGTCCTATTGATACAGGACCTCCAAGTGATATAAGGGAAATATTATAGCTCCCAGCCTGCTAGATGTCAGATACACTGAGTTTGTGTTCCCCTAAATTGAAGAATGAATTCTAAGGAACAACGAGGGTTAAGAGTAGATTTTATTGAGGGAGAGACAGCTCCTGAGAGAGACAGGAAGAGACCTAGAAGGCAGGTTACCAGTGAGCCCATTTCTCAAAGAAATTTTTATAGAGCAAAATCATGAGGTAGGTACAAAATCACAAGGTGGGCACAATGTGGAACAAAACTATGATGCTAATAAGACTACAAGTACAGCCTCTTAGGTACTGTCTATCCAATGAGGAAGCAGGTCATCTAGCAAGTGCCCATGGAAAGAACAAGGACCTTTTTTGGAAGAGATGAGTCAGGAGGTCCTGGTCACCCACCCAGATGGCCGATGCCTATCTAGACTTTATTAGACCAGGTAATATCCATTATAGCATGGATACAAAATTGTTTATCCCTCAGGGAGGTAGGTAGGCCTAGTCATTCCATCTTTATCTTGAGGCCAGGCCTTCAATGAATGTGCTTTCAGCCACAGCTATAAGGTGTTCTCATCCTCTGCATTGAGTTTTTCAAGGGCCTAGCCCTTCATGACTGCCTAAAATATTTCTGCCTAACTTAGCTGTCTGTGATATTATGATGACAGAAATGTATTGGAATTGAGCAGAAGTGAGCCGGAATGGCCTACTTTATCTCAAAAAGATTTTGGATATTAAAATTATACCTTATGTACCTGCACAAAGAGACCTACCTTTACATCAAAGCCTCATCCATTTTTCTTTATATCCATATCTAAATTGTTACAAAAGACATGGTGCTGAATATCTGTGGGTGAAACACTTTTTCTTTGTAGAAAAAAAATTCAATATATTGGTCGGAGGCATAGTTCATTGATAAAGCACTTTATCTTAGCATTCATGAGGCCCAGAGTGCTGTCTGGAGCAGTGGCAAAAGCACAGTACAAGACAAAATGAAACACCAACGAGGAAGATAGTTACTTAGTAGAGGTCAGTGGTGAATCTTTGAGACAAGGAAATTTTCTTTTGAACGATAGTGACCAACATATATTGAATACTTACCACATGTCTGGCACTATTCTAAACACTTTACATATATTTGCTTAGCAGGTACTATTATTGTTTCTACTTTACAGATAAGGAAATAGAGGTATAGAGATTTTTATTTTTATTCTTATTTTTTATTTTATTTTATTTTAATTTTGTACCAGGAATCGAACTCAGGGTCTTGTGCTTGTCAGGCAGGTGCTGTGCTGCTGAGCTACATCCTGGCTCTTTTTTATCTTTATTTATTTGTTTATTTATTATTTATTTATGTATTTACTTTGAGGCAGGGTCTCACTATAGAGTTCAGGCTGGTCTCAAACTCAGAGCAATCAGCCTGCATCAGCCTCCCAAGTGCTGGGATTATAGGCATATGGCACCAGGTCCAGCTGAGATTTTTAATAACTTGCACAAGGTCACTCAGGTAGAAAGAAGGTAACAGAATAGGGATCCAAGTAAAACCTATACACCACCCAATACACACACACACACACACACACACACGCGCATGTGCAAACTCCTAACACAACTGCTGTTTGGTTTTCAACTTGTGCTGCATTGCAAAAGATCCCTAAATAATGGAATCAAGCTCTCTTTTATAACAAAGCCACCTGGATTAGAAAAGGGGCTGTGGAATAGAATTTTTTTGGTTGTTGTTTTTTCTCCACTACCGGGAATCGAACTCAAAACCTTGTGCTTGCCAGGCAGGCACTGTGCTGCTGAGCTAAATCCCCAGCCCCTGGGGCTGTGGAATAGAAAGAAAACTATTGCCATATACTTATTATTTGTGAGGTATTCCACTTAATGCTATGGGTTATATTTCAGCTTTCTCTTAGTCATGGCTTTTGTGTGTTCACAGCTATAAAAGTAATAGAAACTTCATGAGTGTTCAAACAGTGCTGTCACATAAATCCCAGGTTCGTATCCATCACGCTATACTCAGTGAATAATTCCCTCCTATTTTATTACCTTTGTAAATGAAGTCACTCTGAACTTTAAAAACAAAAATACAGACTGAGAAATTGGGAGTTAATATTGAATAGAGAGAGTAACTAACATCTCTCTCTCTCTGGTGCTTTCTGAATGGGCTGGTTTTGTTCTATCTGCTGAGATTCCTGCCCTGGGAGCCTCATTTTGCTGCTAGGGACTTTTGCAGGCCTTTCACTGTTACCATGGATTGGCTGCTCTTGGATACTGAGTTCCCCAAAGCTCGCATTTGTTAAGTGTCACCGCCTCACCCTCAGACTTCCAGAGACCCAGGGCGAGAGGGGGGCAGACACCAAGGCCTCTGGTGGCCGCTGAGCTGCAGGATTCTGCACACATCCTGCAGACAGCAGGACAGGAGGACGCGGGGAGGCTGTGCCCTCTGAAGGGGCCCACTGGCTGTTTGACTCCAGCTGACTGTCGCACCCCATGGTGTCTAGTTCTCTTGGTTTTGTTTTGTTTTTAGAGGTCTTCAAATCAGCATTTCTATGTGAATTTTCTTATTTTAAGACAATTTAAGTTGGCCTAAATTTGTAATGCTCTGTTAAACGAGATATAAGTTTATGGCCTCTTAGTACTTAGAAGCAGTGGTCCCTAATACTCCCAGTATTAATTTTCTGGGGCTTTGCATGTGGCTAAGTGTGCATCCCTTGTACTGTATTAGCTCAAGAACAAATACCATTTCCTCCCCTCGTTTAGGAGCTCTTCTTTTGCTTTTCGTGTATGACATGCATAATTTGAACTTTGAGATCAGCATCATTTCTATGAAAAGTTTGACCTAAATTTTTTCCCATGGATTTAATGCTGTTGCTTGGATACTCATGACAGGTATATTCTGAGCCTAGCCTTTTCCAGGCAGGGGCTTATGCCACTGAGCTGTATCCCCGGCCTGAGCCTAATCTTTTCCAAAGCTGAGAGTTTCCTGGCCCAATTCTGCCCCCTCCCCTCCCCCTCCCAAGGGAATGGGAAGCTGTGATTGGGCTGCAGGAGTCTGACCTACAACAGGCTGCAGATCAGCCCTATTAGAAGCGCCAGGGGTGGAAGACCAGGAGTGGTTACCCTTGTGTAATCTCACAGGTGTTGGTATCTGTTGCCAAATACTGAAAGAGAAGCTGGCTCCAGCTGATCACCATAAAAGCATTCCTAGCACTCGGCTTCGCAGAAGAAGCAGGGCGACCTGATCAGCATGCTAAGAGAATGAGTGCAGGAGCTGTTGCCCGAGTAAGCGAGGCATCTGATAGAGTGACTGCCAAAAGCCACAGGTGAGTGTTTTGTTCTAGGAAGCCAAAAATATGTGGACACAACTTTGTCTGCATCTCCATACCAATCTCATGTTTCAGTGAAAGCTGGGGAGTAGCTTGGTCAGAAGATGCAGGGCTCCCTGCTAGAAGCCTTCAGATTCACTGGATGGCTTCCTCCTCCTGCCAAGTGGGCAGAGTTTGTTTGCTGTTCTCTTGAAGCTAAACAGTAGTTAAGCAGTTGACTTCATTGGAAAGCGGTATTATTTTGAAATGAGGCTTCGTTTCCCGTCAGTGACCTGTGCACAGGGAAAGCCCTGGTCTGCGCTTGGATCCTGGAGTCACAGCCCTGTCACAGCTCAGAAGGCTCCCAGTCACCGGAGCAGCCCGCAGGGAATGACAGCATGTCGGCGTTCTGGCTGTGGTCCGCCCTGCTGCCTCTGCTGGCTTTTCTCTGCCCTCCAAGTTCATCGTGCGGCCTTTCGACACACATAGAAATAGGTGAGTCCTGGGGTCTTGTGTTATTCAAGGGCCAAGAAATCTGTCAAGAGACATTAAGAGATTGAAAAATCTGTCCCTTTTATTGCTACAGTTTTCCCTGAGCAGCCTGATAGTGGCAAGAAGAACCCATGAGGGGGACTGGCAGGGATGTGGAAGGGCAGATGGGCTCAGGAGGGCCAGGCGAGCAGGAGAGCTGATGTGCCCTTGGCCATGGGTTTGCTGGGTGTCTCTCTGGGTGGGAAATGATGAGGAGCTCGATAGAAGGGAGGCTGCACCGAAGCAGACCTGGAAGAATGGGAGAGGAGGTGGGAGGAACATGGTAGTAGGGAGGAATTTATTTGTGTTGTTTTATGTTTCCAAGGACAGGCATTTCCGTGTGTGTAGAGGGCCGCGTGTGGTCAGGGGAGTGGGGCGTCTGAGTCAGGTGTTTTTAAAGGTGCTCGGCTTCAGGGAAGTCAAGGAGGCAAGGGAGTGCGCACGATCATTGGCTTTACAAGCAGAGTGATAGCAGGATTTGGGCAGGAGAGGAGTATACAGCAGTTTCCACCAACCTCAGGGGCAAAGATAGAGTTACTTAGATATAGGTAGGTGGTAGTACAGATACGGTAGTTTTAAAAAACTTACCCCATTTTATTGAGGTATAATTGAGAAAAATGAATAAATTTGAGGTATACAACATAATGAGTCTGTCCTTCCTTCCTTCCCCTCCCTTCCTGCCTGCCTGCCTCCCTCCTTCTTTCCTTCCTCCCTCCCTCCCTTCTTTCCTTCCTTCCTTCCTTCCCATTCATCCATCCATCCATCCAGGGGATTAAACCCAGAGAGTGCTGAGCTACATCCCAGCTCTTTTTATTTTGAGGTAGGGTCTTGCTAAATTGCCTAGGCTGGTCTCAAACTTACAATTTTCCTGCCTTAGCCTCCCTAGTAGCTGGGATTATAAGTGCTGGCCACCATGTAAATGTAGTATATTATGTAATATGTGCGCACGTACACACATGTGCGTTGTGAAATGTTTACCACAGTCAAGCTAATGAAAATGTCCATCACCTCACATAGTTACCATTCTTAGTATGTGTGGTAAGAACAATGAAGATCTCTTTTAGCAAAAGGATTTGATTCTTGAATGAATTATAATTTATGATTATTTTTAGTACATGCAAAATGTAAGACAATTATAATATTCAACCATTTTAGGTTCATTTAAGATAGGCTTTTTAAATAAAAGTAATGGTATTTTGTAGTTACACTGCCTCCAGAAGTTATACAGAATAACAAGATTGCAAATAGAACATGAAAATTTGTCAGTGCAAAATATATGGCAGGCCAGAGCCTGTGATGAGAGAATTTTAATGTATGAGTGGATAGCAGAGGTCGCTGGGTCCATTTCTTTTATTTTACAGATGAGAGAACATCCTACAGAATTTCACAGCTAACCTCTTAGCAGCCTGGCCTAGAATGACACACCCCATACCAGTCCAGTGTTTTTCTCATTAAACAGTTGCTGAAAGGGAGTCAGGAAACCACGAGAAAGAAACTCAGACCTAGGTTCTGTCCCAGCTCTGCTATAAATATGTGTGACTGAGTGATTCACTTTACCTCTCAATCCTCTTTAAAGGTGAAACTTCTTAGTGATTTCTGAAGCATCTTCCAGCTCTATGCCCCGTTATAGTTGAAATGGCTGAAAACATAGAGGTATGCCAAAGAGGAAGACATGTGAATGGGAATACCCAACTTTTTACTATTTGTTTTAGCTAGTGTTTTACACTGTACTATATCCCTAGCTCTTTATTACTAAGACTGACTCTTGGTAAGTCTCTAAATTGCCCAGGCTGGGCTCGAATTTGTGACCCTCTTACTTCAGCCTCACAGGGTACTGGAATTACAGGTGTGTACCTCCATGCCCAACCTCAACTTTTAAAATTATTAATAGTTTAAAAATTTATGAGACAGCTAGCTTTCTTCAGTAGCTAACAAAGATCCTAATGGATATTTAAGGATATCTACATCTAACAGACATATGGAACATAATTAAAGGCAACCCCTAAAATAGATTCTACAGATTCTGAGAAATTTCATGTTAGAAAGTAAAATTCCAACACTTATTTGCTAATAATGTAGATGATGTTATACATTCTAGGTTCAGTTTTTTCCTGTGTGTGTGTGTGTGTGTGTGTGTGTGTGTGTGTGGTACTGAGTACTGAACCCAGGGACACTGAGCTACATCTCCAGCTTTTTTAAAATTTATTTTGAGTTAGGGCCTTGGTAAGTTGCCCACGTTGGCCTTGAACTTGCTGTCCTCCTTCAGTTTCCCAAGTAACAGAGGTAACAGGCATGCACCACCATGCCCGGGGTACTTTTTCTTATGTGGGGTGGGTGTGAACAGTTGACATTTATGTGAATTGGTTACTTTGAATAGGTCTCACTCAGTGGTTTGGGTCTGTAAATCTCTGGAATCCCAAGTATGGATGTCTTGTGTGGGTTATGTCTTGTCTCTTACGGTATTAATTCTTACAATATAGGACCAGCTATATATATTGTATGAATTTTAAAAATGGCTGTGGTTCACAGTAAAAGCCAGTGTCACCTCTGAATGTCTCTTCACAGGGATGCTAGTCCAATAGCTTCTGAGAAGGTGCAGTCTGTGAGCCTGTGTGAGTGGAGAAGGTGGCCTTCTGAGATGATTTTGTCACTCCTGATGAAAACAGACTTGGGGACCAATGATTAGACAGTGACTTAGGCTTCAGGTTGCATTTCCTCTTCCCTATCTCAGTTTGGAGGCAAACATGATGGCAGTTTGTTTCTTGAGCTCCTCCTGGGTGTCAACCTCTGTGCTTGCCACTTAGTAATTATTCTCTGTGGCTCTCAAAAATGTGGACCGTGGGGACTGTTTACTTAATTCTATAGGGGAAACTGAGGCCTAGAGAGGGTGAGTAACTTACTCAAGGTTTTAGTCCTAGTTAAGTCATTGTGAAAATTTTATTTGTATTCTAGTAACACACATATTGTATAAACCCCACTATGCCTAGAGAAAATTACAGGTAAGTCCACACTTAATTTTCAATTCCTGCTTCTTTGACTATTTACAACTGCAAAGTTGTATCTTTGCTTTTCAAAATGATATCTAGTAATTAGAGTTGGACTTTTTTGACTTGCGTACTTGTTTCTTTTAGGACACAGAGCTCTGGAGTTTCTTCAGCTCCCACGTGGACATGTTGACTACAAAGAGGTCAGCACCTGGCTTTCCTTACATCACTTCTGCATTAGCTTTCCTTAGCAGTCCCGTACAAGGGTCCTAATGCACATTTAAACTAATTTCAAGAGGCATTTTTCTGTCTTTATATAACTAATATTATGATTAAGAGATATACAGGGTGTGATAGAAGAATATGGTGAATTTTTATATTAAAAATGTATTACAGTCTAAGACACATTACCATTAATCTCCCTCAAAATGCTCTTCTTTTTTTGTCTTTTTGAGACAGGATCTTGCTATGCAATTCAAGCTGACCTTGAGCTCACTTTGTAGCCCAGACTGTTCTCAAACTCAAAGGATCCTCCTGCCTCAGCCTCCTGAGTGCTGGGATTATAGGTGTGGCCCACCACGCCTGGCCAAAATACCCTTCTGAACACACTTCTCCCATTGTTCTTGCTACTTTCTAAAGTAGTTCTGGAAGTCTTTGGATGTCTTTAGTTGCACTGTCATGAGTGCCTTGGTGTCTTAAATTGATTCAAAATGTTTACCTTTCATAGTTGTTTTAAGGGCTGGGGATTTAGCTCAGTGGCATAGCGCCTGCCTGGCAAACACAAGGTTGTAAGTTCAATTCCTGGTACCAGAAAAAGCTGCCCCCCCCCCAAAAAAAAATTCAATGCATGGTTGTTTTGTCTCTGAAGAAGAGCTAGAAGTCACCTGGTCTAGTGAATAGTGAATTTATTTACCTGCCCTAGTGAATAAAGTGGATGCGGACACATGGTGATGTTCTTACAAGCCTGCCTTTCCACTGGAAGATATTCTTCAACATCATTATTGAATTTGGGGTCCCACCTTGTAAAGACATGAAAGAAACTTCCAGAATTACTTCAGAAAGTGGCAGGGATGGTGGGACGAGTATATTCAAAGCAAGGGGGGTATTTTAAGGGAGATTAATGGCAATGTGTCTTACTGTAATAAATTAAAAACATTTAAACAGTCACTATATATCTTGATATATGTAATCCAAATATATTGTGTCCCAGTGCTACTTGAATACTTTGTGTACAGATTTTAAAATTTAATATTTCAAAGTTCAAATATTTTAATGCTATAAATCATAATTTAAAAAATCTTGTATAGTGATAAATCTTTTTTGTTTTTGTAAAAAAGAGGCCACACTTGAGAGAAATAATTTATTTTCTACTCTTTGCCTCTGTGTGCTGTACACAGAGCATACCACCAGGAAGAGCAGGAAGTGGATTGATTGGCTGACTGATTGACTGAGGTGGAGGTGGGTCCCCAGGTCTCATGCATGCGAAGCGAGGGCTCTCCTGCAGAGCCGCTCCCCAGCCTGGAAGCGGGAAGTCTTAGAGGAAGAGTGCATGGAAGTGCTTCTCATTTTTTCACACTGTGTTATTTCTAGTTCTGTAGCTAAATAATAACCAATGACAAAGATGATTTTTAAATACTCACTTTACTTATTTTTTTGTTAGTACATGTTTGCAGTGATTATGTGAATTGCAGAGCATAATGATTATATTCATCAAGGGGCGTTGGTACATGTGCATAACACATCTGCGTTCTGTTTTTCGTCCCTCACCTCTCCTGTTGCTCCCTGCTCCTTCCAACACTTGGTCTGCTTCCCATTTGTAAAAGCTCTTTTCCCATTTTTTTCAGTTCTTTTTTTCACATCCCAATTCCTTCCTCTTCTTCCCCCTCCATCTTTTGCTCCCTCTCCCATTTGAAAAACTTCTCCCTACTTCCTATTATCTATCTTTCATTTTGCTCTTTATTAATATTTTTTTGGTTTTTCATGTAAGAGAAACCATGAGCTATTTAACCTTGTGTGTTTTATTTATTTTGCTGAATATTATGGTCTCACGGTGCATCCATTTACCTACAAATGCTTCAAGTTTACCTTTTTTAAGGCAGAGTAGTACTTCATTGTGTATAGGGCTGGGGATTTAGCTCATGGGCTGGGGATTTAGCTCAGCGGCAAAAGCGCCTGCCTGGCAAGCGCAAGGTCGTGAGTTCGGTTCCCGGTACCGGAGAAAAACCAAAAAAAAAAAAAAAAAAAAAAAAAAAAAAAAAAAAACCAGCATTGTGTATAAATGCCATAATTTTTTATCCATTTGTATCTGTTGATGGGCATATAGGTTATTCCTAAGATTTAGCTATTATAAATTGTGCTGCTATAAACATGAGTATGCATGTATCACTGTAATGTGATGATTTTATTAACTCTTTTGGGAAGATACCTAGTGGGGAATAGCTGAATCACATGGAATTTCTAGTTTTAGTTTCATGAGAAATTTCTAAACTTATTTGCATAGTGGCTTTACTAGTTTACATTCCTACCAGCAATGTGGAAGGGTTCCTTTTTCCCTGCAGCCTCACCAGCATTTGTTATTATTTGATTTCTTGATGGCCATTCTTTCTGGAGTAAGATGGAATCTCAGTGTTGTTTTAAATTGCATTTCTCTAATGGCCAGCAATGTTTAACATTTTTTTCATGTATTTATTGGCCTTTGCTACTTCTTCTGAGAAGTGTCTATTCATTTTGGCTGCTCATATTCTGATTTGGTCTTTTATAGTGGGGGGACTAATGCTTTTGAGTTCTCTATATATTCTAGGTGTTAGTCCTCTGCCTGAGGAATAACTGGCAAATTTTTGTAATTGTCTCTGTACTCTGTTGCTTCCTTTGCTGTGCAGAAGCTGTTTAAGTTGATGTATCCTATTTACTGATTTGGGTATTATTTCTTGTGCTATTGGGGTTCCGTTCAGCAAGTCCTTGCCTATACCTGTGTCTTTAAATATGTACTTTTAATGAGGGTGGTTAACTTTCCTTCATGAGATCAGGATTGGATCAAATTATTGCCAGTAGGTCTTGAAAATTCAATTGGAAAAGCAGAGTAAGATCACGGAAATGTATCCCCAAATCACTTTTCATTAGTTTCAAATTCCTTACTTGGCATTTTAACTGGCCTAGAGTTAAAAATAACATTTATGGACTCTCTCTGGGGCTGGGGATATAGTTCTGTGACAGAGCGCCTGCCTAGAAAGCTCGAGGTCATGAGTTCGATTTCTGGTACCAAAAAAAAAAAAAAACCAAAAAAAGAAAAAAATATATAGACTCTCTCTGACTCACATTTTCATTGACTTTGAGAAATAGTAGATAAGATAAGAAGCAAAAGTCTAATTTCTCATGTAAGCAGCCAACCCTCAATGTGTGCAGAGTGATTTTCTTACAGAGGTCTCCTTCCTGGATCACTGACTTAATCTAAAACATGATACATGGCCACCACTGGCCCCTCTCAGCCTGGGTCCTAATCCCAGCACTGATGCTGTCAGTGGATGTCACCAAGGGACCTGCATATACCCACTCGCCTGTAACTGAGGACCTGGGGAGTACTTTACCTTCAATGTTATTTTTAACACTTTTAAAGCCGGGGGATCTATTTTATGTCTCCTTTGTATCTCCATGTTTTACTTTCTACCTATTAAAACCGGATTTAGTTTGCAAGCTGGTGACTCATTTATGCAGTTTGGTAACTTAATGCAGGAAAGCAGTTTGAGGATATTTGCCAGCTGGGTAGACAGATCCCCACAGGCAGGCAGAGTCTGGGCAAGATTTGTACTCTTGGGGCCTGGTTTTTGTTGGTTTGGGAATTATCTTCTGTGAATACATTCAGAGGATACTGTACTTCAAAGACTCATGTATACTCACCAGATGAATACAAGGGTAACACGTAAAATTGAGATGGTGCGTTTATTGATTTATAAGAACTAGAGAATCATGCTAACCTCACATCAGTGGTCAGTCTTGCCCTCGTATTTACTCCCTTTCTGTGGGAATAATTGAATGCTGTGTGTGAGTAATCCCTTCCTCCCTCTCCCCATTTCCCGAGTGGTTCATAGCTTACCCTCCTTGCCTTTCCCTCTTGTCTCTCAGTTTACACACATTGTTTTTTCCTAAATCACTTGGAGGTAGTTGTGGACATGGTTCTTATTTATCTTTTAACCCTTTGTTGCTCATTTCCTAAAACAAAGATGCTCTTTTAAAAACTATACTATATTGATCATAATCAGGAACGTCAACACTGAAATAACACTCATTTGGTTCTGACTTTTACATTTCACCAGTTGTCTCAGTGTCCTTTCCCAGTCCAGGATCAATCCAAGATCAAGTCGAAATCCAAGTGTTGTATTTCACTGTCATTTCCCTTTGGCTTCCTGCAGTCTAGAGCTGTTCCTCATGCTTACTGCACCTTTATTTGTTTTCAGAATGTTTGCATTCCTGGTGTGAGTTGGTACATGTACACAACACATCTTAATTCCTTTCTCACCCCTTCTCTCTCCCTCTCCCTCCATCTTTTGATGCCCCTCCCATTTGAGAAAAATCTATCTCCCTACTTCCTTACTATCTTTTATTTACTGTTTATTTATAATTTTGGTTTCTCATATAAGAGAAACCATGCAATCTTTAAGCTTGTGTGTCTGATTTATTTCACTTAATATTTTGGTCTCAAGGTGCATCTATTTTCCTACAAATAACTCAAGTTTATCATTCCTTATGGCAAAATAGTAGTCCAGTGTGTGTAAATACCACATTTTCTTTATCTATTCATCTGTTGATGGACATATAGGAGCTTCCAAGATTTAGCTATTATCGACTGTGCTGCTATAAACATGGGTATGTAAGGATCACTATAAAATATCTTTATGACCTTGATGATTTTGAAGATCTAGTTGAGTCACTCTGAGGAGTGTACCTTGACCTGGTTGTGTCTGATGGTGCACCAGGATTAGATTCCTTTGCAGATGACACATTTGGGCAGGAACCCCCTGGAACAGTGACACGATGCTGCAGCCTTCCCCCCCACATCCTGTCAGAGGGGGTAATGCCAGTTTCCAGTGACATTTATATTTATTTCAGTTATTGAGTTTTTTACTTCTAAAATTTCTACTTGGTTTTGCTTTGTGTCTTTCTTTGCTGAGACTTCCTGTTTGTTCAAGGTTGCGTGGAGTTTATCCCTGAAACATTTTTGGCTGTTTTAAAATTTGTCAGACAACTATGACATCTTGGTCAGTTCAGTGTTGGCATCTATTGGGTCTTTTTTATTTTTGAGACCTCTGGTTCTCAGGACCTTCACACTGAGCTACTGTATATCCCTACTCATTTACTTTATTCATTCATTCATGCATGCATGCAGAGACAGGGTCTTGCTAGGTGGCTCAGTTTCCCAGGCTGATCTTGAATTTGTGATCTTCCTGTTTCAGGCTTGAAGAGTTTCAGCATTACAGGAGTGTACCACCTCTCCCACCTGGATCAGGGGATTATTGTTAAAAGTTTTCTGTCTTGGTGGCCTGTACTTACCCTGGCCTATGGCTAGAAAGAGCAGGCTTTTATTGGTGTATCTGTGTGTGCTCATGTGTGCACATTGTCTTGGTTGCTTTTCTCTCATTGCTGAGACAAAATACCTGATGCCCAAAATAAAGGAAGGAAAGGTTTATTTAGCTTACAGTTTGTGGAAATTTCAGTCCATACTTGGCTGGCTCCGAGGCAGAGTGGCACATAGCAGAGGGCAAACATTCATGGTGTCGGGAAAATAGCAAACAGCCAGAGCAAAAAGGGAGGAATGGAGGCAAGCAGCCCCTTTTTCTCCTTACATATGCAAACTGTCTTTCCCAGGGTGGGTGTAGCTCTCACACCCATAATCAGTCAAACTCTAAAAGCCTGCCCCATTACCACATGAGGCTCTGGGGGGGACACACAGACACAAACCGTAACACACATACATGCTCATGTGTAGTTTTTCCAGTATCCAGTTTGTGATATGTGAGGCAAAAAGAGAACCCAGAGAAGTTATCATACTTAGCTTCACTTTTCAGAGTCATATTAATTTTTTGGTTTTTTTTTCCAGTACCGGGAATCGAATTCATAACCTTGCGCTTGCCAGGCAGACGCTGTGCCGCTGAGCTAAATCCCCAGCCCCGCTAAATCCCCAGCCCCCAGAGTCATGTTAATTTTATAATTTCCAGGGTTTTTAGTCATATTCAGCAGGAAGAATAAGAAAAAATAGGTCTATTTCAGTTTTCTAGAAGCAGAAGTCTAGAGGATACTGTATTAAGTTTTTATCCCTGGGTTAACACTGTGTCTGCCACATTTTAATGTTTGAAAGTTAATAATTATTTTCTACCATTTGGTTAAATAGTAAATGCTCTACAAAGATATATAGTCATAAAACTCTTAAATTTTTGTGTTATGAAATGCATTAACATTTTCGTTTATGGTTTCTACCTGTGTGTTATACTTAGAAAAATCATTTCTGCTCCATAATTATTACCTTAAATCTTGATCTGTTAATCTCTTGGTTCCATTTTTGATATTTAACTTTCTAGTTTACCTTGTATTTATTTTGGCATAAAGCATGATAGAGATCCAGTGACCTGTTATTATTTTGTTTTTTGTTTTTGTCTTTTTGAGACAGGGTCTCGCTGTGCAGTTCAGGCTGGCCTTGAGCTTACTTTGTAGCCCAGACTGGTCTTGAACTCACAATGATCCTCCTGCCTCAGCCTTCTGAGTGCTGGGATTACAGGCGTGCACCTCCACACCCAGTCCCAGTGACCTGTTATTGATAATGTTAATTTAAATCCCATGTCACCTACACAAAGCACAGATTCACTGGTATAAGAAAGGTGTACTTGTTGCTCTGGGGTTGTGACAACCTCAGTTGTTGATGACCCCATCCTTTTTTGTCCTGTCATACAGTAAGTTATTTGTGTGCTTGACTTGAGTTTGCTTTTGCAATCTTTATTCTGCTTTGTGGCTCTTTTCCTTTTGGAGAGTAGTGCTGGGGATGGAACCCAGGGCCTGGTGCATGCCAGGCAGGTGCTCTACCACTGGGCTCCATCCCAGCCTCATCTGTTCTTTAGGCTCCAGGATCATTACTGTTTTATTACTGTAGCATAAAAATATATTTTCATATGTGAAAGATACTTCCTCCTTCAGGGGTCCTCTTTTTTGTTGTCTCCAGCAGTTTCCTGACTCTTTTACACATTTATTTTTAAAAATTTGTTTCAGAATTATTTTGATATATTACATAATGCATGTACCTCACTGGATGATATGGATTTAACCAGTCTTAAGACAGTCCTTTGAACACTGCCCAGTAAGGTAAATAGTCAGTGAAGTTAATTATTATTTTTAAGTGACAAAAGTCCAACTCAGGCTATCTTTTGAAAGAAGAGACTTTACCAACTTTATTGATTTGTGTGACTGATGCCCCAGGTAGAGCAAGACCTAGTGGTCTTGATGGTGTTCTGCCTCCTTCACTGGGAGGATTTGGCCTCAGAGCCTGGGAGAGAGCAGCTTCCAGAGCACCAGCTGGGAGGTCTCCTGTCACACGTCCCTCTCCGAGCCTAACATGTGGGGTGTCAGGGTGCTGGTGGCTTCTCCCTGTGCTTGGCCCAGGCCTCTTGATTGGTGTGGCACTCAGTGTCCTCAGGAGGAAGTGATTCTGTTTCCCTGGGAAGAACAAAAAACAAGAGTAGATGATTCTGCCTTTTCCTTGTCTTACGTTCTCAAGGTACTTCTTTGTTTCCTCCATGGATGGTCCACATGATTGTAAGTCCTTATTGGAAAATAAAAATGTGGTGTTGCCTAACCTCAGTTTTGCCATTGTGTCCAGTGGAGTGGGTTCGCAGATCTTGGAAGGTCCTTGGGCCTGCTTAGGCAGAGAGGATGCCATGCTGAGATTTGGGAGGTCACTGTGCAGAGCCTGTGTGGGAGCTGGTGGGGCAGAGCCAGGCTGAGCTTCCAGAAAAGATCAGAACTGTACCCAGAACGGCCAGCCAGGATGTGCACCTGGGCTGCTGCCACACAGACAGAGGAGAAATGGCGGGATTCTCTTTCCTGCGGCAGCCAGAGTGGGGCACAGCTTGTCCCGCAGCTCTCACACACCTCCCTCACCTTCTCCTGAGTATAGATGAAGACAGCTTGCCCTGGTGTCCTCCTGCTACCCCGGAGTTACTTTGTGCCTGTTCCCCGGGCTGCTCTGACCAGAGGTGCAGCACTTTTACCTGCTCCTGCGGCTCCTGCCTCCCTGAAGAAGTGGCAGCGGTCAGGAAAGGATCTTATCCTCAACCTCCTCACACCCCAGTAAGCTCTGGTGAACACAGCCAGCCCTCCTGAAGACTCCCTCAGTTTTGGCCCCACCATTTTCATGGAGATGTGACAGCTGTCAATTAAACAGCATTTTCCAGCATTCCCTTGAGCTGCTGCCATGACGGCTGCAACAGTCCTGGACACCTGACACGCCATGCCTGCTCTGGAAGATGTCTGGCTGATTGCAGCAGGCATGGATTTGAGCTTAGCAGTAGAACTGAATTTGGGCCAATCAGGGCTCGAGTTTGAGCCCATCACAGCCTTGGGACAATCACAGGTTTGCTGCTGTATAAGCAGAAACTTCTGTCATATTCCTTGTACTGTTGTAGAAGGGCGCTGTCTGATGTATTGCCCTCTCTGTCCTTGGCACAGGCACTGTTCAAAAAAAGCCTTGCACTGATGGTCCTGAAATCTAATGGGCGGTAAGGGCTTGGCAGGTCCTGTAAATCTACTCTTGCTTCTCACCCTGGATAGTACAGCCAGAGCAGGTTGCCTTGAAAAAGAGCTACAAACCTGAGGTACTGCTAGCTCTAAAAAGCTCCAGAGACTAGCAACAGGAACCAGCAGGCGGTGTTACTGGGCACTAACAGGTAGTTATCCTTGACTGTCCAGAGGCTGCCAGGGTAACTTAGAGCCCCAGGGTTGTAACACTAAGGGCTGAGAGCAGAACCACTAGCCAAGTTGCACTTTGCCATTTCTATCTGAGTTGACCCAAGGAACCCTCAGCTGATTGGCAGTAACAGCCACTTCCCCGTTTACTACCTGCACATTCAATGGACTTATACATGGTTTCCAAACTAAGGAGCTGCCATCTTGACAACTGGCTGTGAGACATCACTACAGCCACAGTCTTCTTGCAAACTGGATGCCCTGTACTTCACCTGTGAACACGCGGGACACTCGGCACACCGCTGCTACCTCTGTTGTACAAACACCACATGTTTCCATATTGGCACAAGCAAGTGGGTCCATGGAGAAAGCTGTGCCCCACCAGACTGAGGGTGGGCAGTCTGGGCATGTGCTGCCAGGCATGCCATAGGGAGTCAGAATGAACTCAGCGACCCAGTCTCCCAAGGAAGAACGTTGTGAAATACTATTTCACATAATTTTAAATGCAAAAGAATATCTTCATAGCCATGAAGAAGCACAAAGGACACAGTTTTAGATAAATGAGAGGTAGCAACTACAAATTGCTATGAATGTGTGTGTATGCAACTGCCTGCCTGCCTGCCTGCCCGCCTGCCCTTCCATCCCTTCCTGCCTCCCTCCCTGTACTTTCTTCATTTCACTGTGGATCCTTGCAAATCTTATCATGAACTAGCTCTGAGTCAGTGAAACAGGGTCAAGAAAATCCTGCTCTACTGGATGGTCCAAAAAAAATGGAACGAGATGAAATTTAAATAGGTTATCTTTGCTACTTTCTAATTAGCCAATGTTTGGTAGGCAAGAACCTAAATTATATATTATAATGTGTTGTTTTGGATTATACAAGAATTTCTGTCATTTATTTATTAAGCCTGCCTGCCTGTCCCCCTTCTTTTCATCCATCCCTTCCCTCGACAGTCTTAGGTCTCATAGCTAGAAATCAATGGGTTCTGTGTTTCCAAGGATGTTGCTTCTGGTCCCCTAATCTCTGTATTTTCTGATTTTCCAGCTGTTAAGAGAACACCAAGATGCATATCAGGCTGGGGCCGTGTTTCCTGATGCTTTTTACTCTAGCTTCTGCAAATTAGGTAAGATTTGTGGGTAAAGTTTGCAGACCACATGATATCATTTTTACTTGGTTAATAGGAATGGCTGTGACTTTAAAAGTATATAATGGTGCAACATGTTTTCCACTATTGGTGGCCAGTGACTTACTTTATTAAGCTCAGAAATTCAGAAAATTTTATTTTATTTTTTTCTGAGGCAAAAAAGAAAAAAGCAAAATGTTTAATAGATAATATCTTTTGTGATACTATAATATAAATCCAGTTCACTACAAGTAATAGTTATTTCAGAATAGTTTTTTTCCTTAATTGTATAGTGGTTTCAATATGTTATTCTAGAGAGCCAGATTGATTTCTGTAATCAGAAAAATTAAAGGATAAATCAGCGCATAAGATGCTTCCAGCTAGAAGCTTCTGCAGCCTCTGGCTGGGCCCTGTGCCCCATCTCTTGTGTCCATGGTGCTGATCCACTTGAAACCCCATGTTGTTTATGGATTTATGCTTTGTAACATCTTTTCTATTATCCAATAATCTCACCCCAAATTTTTGCTCATTTTTCAAAACATTGATAAAATGTTATATTTTATGTGTTAATACCAAGAGTTGGGGCTGGGGATTTAGCTCAGCGGCAAAGTGCCTGCCTGGCAAGCGCAAGGTCGTGAGTTTGGTTCCTGGTACCGGAGAAAAACCAAAAAAAAAAGAGTTAATCTCTCCTTTTTGTCTAATGCCTGTGCATACTGTGTACATATCACAATTCAGGTGGTTATTTACAAAGATTTCTGTTTTCTCTATTAGAGCCTGAGATCTTTGGATGGCTGGAAATATTCTGTACACGTTGATCTCAGCGTCCTGCTCACTTGCACGGTTCTTGCTATAATGACTCAGCAAGTGTGTGAATAAAAATAACATTTATGCTACTTCATTGAGGCACTGGTTAGACACTATATTATAATTCTGCAAAATAAGAAAATTTTATTTTATTTTATTTTGTTGGTCCTGGGAATGAACTCGGGACCTTGTGCTTGCCAGGCAGGCACTGTGCCGCTGAGCTGTACTCCTGGCCTGAAAATTTTATTTTTTGATGAGACATATTCTTACTGTCCTTACTGCTTTGTGGTAGGGAGAAAACATTTTACAAGAAATCCAAAGGTCTGAGTTTGTGTTCCTTCTATATTGCCTGTTAGCATGTGACCCTGAAAAAGCCACACACAGAGTTTCTTTCCACGCCTGTAATATAGCACTGATAATGCGGACCCTGCCTGCCTGCTGGATTGTTGGCCCGCATGCAGAATATTTGAGAAGTATTATACAAATTTAAGGTAGTGTTATCCATCAACTGGGCTATGTGAGTTAGGGCCCCAGTGGGGCACAGAAGTCACATTCAAACTGAGTGCCTTGAGGGGCATCTAAGAAGAGGATTATTTTTATAGATACAGACCAGATTTAAGGAAGCCCAAGGGACAGGACAGGGCAGGGAGCAATTACTGGACCTGTAGACAGAGGAGAGCTCATGAAGAAGGCCACCTGGTAGGAACAGCGAGCCCTCTGTGACTTCCCAACCTAACCCCTCATGTCCCTTTGCTCTGATCTCTTGTTCTGTTGGCCAAACCCAACCTAACCAAAGCCAAGGGACCATGCAGCCTCTTGAAGCAAGCGACCCCAGAGTCACTTGTAGGTGGAAGAGAATGGAGAGGGTGTGAAGAGATGAACAAAAGCTATCCAGGTCTTGTGGGAACCATTTCGGCTGACTTAGGGTTATCTGCCTTTATCTCATTTAGGAAATATATAGTGATGTCTTTGGGGGTCACTGAAGTATTTAGGGACTACTCACTCCTATAGTTATGATCCCATTGTTTGTTCATTAAGTTTGAGAAACATTTTAGTACATGCCATTTTTAGAGCTTGACAAAGTACATAATACTAAATATTCTGAGAAAAGTAGAAAAAGAAAGCAAACTATTTAGCATTTTCCATGTTCTCATAAAGCAGTATATATGCTCTTAGAGAAAGATTAGGAATGGTGTATGGCTGATAAATCAAAAAGTCCATTAAAAAGAATTATAAAATATATAGTAACAATGAGGATTTTAATATAGATTTCTTTTAGGTTTTTAGGAATTTTTCTCAATCTTACCTTTGTCTTCATACGTATCTAATTCAACAGTAGTTTTTGTTTTTCTTTTTCCTTTTCTTTCTTCCAGTTTTTTTCTTTTTCTTTTTGACAGAGGGTCTCACTATGTCCAGGCTGGCACTGGACTCACTATATAGCCCAGGCTGACCTCATGGCGCTTGTCCTGCCTCCTGAATACTGGGATTATAGGCATACACCACCACTCCCAGCTCTTTTTCTTTTTTTGATGATTCACATTTATTGTATTGTTTAACAGTACTTAATGTTCTTAGATATTTAATAGTCCAAAATAATCCCCTTTGTTATATGCATGTTTCATGTTTGTAGTAATTTAATTTAATTCAACATTGGGCAATAGAAGCATAACTGGTCTTACCAGGGATAGCACTGACCCGAGGGATTCCTGGTGAGTTACTGTGCCATGTGTGGACAGATGAGTTGTATGCTCTGGTCAATGGCCTGCTTTAGCATCCAGCATGCCCCCAGGTCACCTTTGCTTCTAATCTGTATGACTGTAAGAGGGACCAGACAGTCGTGGTTAATCTGGTAATTCCATTCAGTGGAGGTTGGGCCAAAGGGCTACTGATATTTCATTCTGGATTTTTACTATATTCTGGAGAGCAGGAATTGTTTAAAATTCTATCTCTAGGAAAATTGCTGGACCAAATCAAATTTCTTAGTTTTGACTTCTTTGAAAAGAATTTTCAGAAAAGCTGGTAACTTAAGCTGGTGTGCAGGCAGGTTTTACTTTACCCGCAACCTTAAACAGTGTGAATGTAGGAGTCTGAGCTCTGAGTGCTTCTTCTATTTGTCCTTGACATTGGCACCCTGTGAAGAATCTGTGGTGCTTGGATATTGAGAATGGGTGACATCCCTGTCTTTTCTGCCCCTCCTGGGGCAATGAAATGCTTCATGGGGTACCCACTCCAGTGACGCTTGTTGGAACCCCTCAGGCTTTTGCCATTTAAAAATAATTATTATAAATTCAAGTGCTTGGAAAGCCTGTGGAAGATTCACCTTGTGCTTTCTAGGGAGAGTAACTCTGAGCAACAAAGAAAATATTTAAAATTCCTCAACAAATAAATGAAGTATCCCAAACTTGTCTCCCGAGCTTTAGGGCACAGAAGTGGAGCCTTCTAGCCTCCTTTGCAGCCAGCTCAGCGAGGTACTGGGAGCAGGTCAGGTTGGCCTGTGCCTCTTGGAGGGCTGTGGCCATCAGGGACACGGTCTCTGCCTGTTCCAAAGTGACAGCCACTGTTCCACTCTGGGAGGTATCCTTGAACACCAACAGAAGACACCAGTGGGCTCGGAGGGAGCGAGGGGAAGGGACACCGCAGCAGTGATGGTGCTAGGAGGTTTGGTGGAGACTCTGACTTTGATGAGCCCAAAGTCCTGCTTTTGTTTCATCAGGAAAATTCCATGATGTGTCGGAGAGCACACACTGGACGCCGTTCCTCAATGCAAGCATCCATTACATCCGGGAGAACTTTCCCCTTCCTTGGGAGAAGGTAGGTGCCTCCTACATCCCGTACCCCATACCCACCAGGTATTTGCACCTGCACTTACCCCACTTGCACCCTGTCCTCTAGCTTTGTGACAGCTACTTGCCATTGTACCAGTTGATACTTGAATAAACTATGAGAAAAATTGGGGGCCATGTCACTTGGCCATTTTCCTCCGATAGTAATCTAAAAGCACTTCCAAAGCACTATGGAACATTTTAACAAGTTCCTTGCAGATTTCAGTGACTAGAAAATACATTGTGCCTGCCTTTAATTTTTTTGTTGTTTGATAATGAAAATTTATCAATTTCCAAGCCTAACTACATAGGCTTTTCATAGGATTATTATAAAATAACCCAAACACACAGGACTGTAATTTGTTTATTACAGAACACCGAGAAGCTGGTGGCCTTCGTGTTTGGAATCGCCTCTCATATGGTGGCAGATGTGAGCTGGCACAGCCTGGGCATTGAACAGGGCTTCCTCAGGACCATGGGGGCTGTGAGTACCCATCTCTGCAGCTGCTGGCATTGTGGGAATGCAACTGCCTTACCCAAGACCAAAAGCAGACTTGCCCAGGAAAAAAGAAATCTTAGGCTATTCAGATGTAGGTGCAAACAAGATCTCTTATCCAAAGTGGTGTTCAGGCATAGTGTTGTCTTTTCCTGTTCATTCCTGTTCTTCCTGGACTGAGATAAATTCATCCACAAGACTAGAATGACTTGCATGCACTGAGAATAGCAAGAGATGTGACATTGTTTTAGTTTCATTCAAACTATGTGTCTTAATAAGGGTATGAGTATCTGCCCATTGGTTCTTTTTAAAAGTAACAGTTCTGCTTTATTTCTTTCTAATTTTCTCTGTGAAAATACCATGACCCCGTACTGATAATTGTGGTTTTACCTAGTGGTTTTGCTTCTGGAAGACCCCTCTGGACCACAACTGATATTAATTCCATTTGTTAGAAGGTTAAGCTTGACCTTGGAGATTTTTGTATATATATCCTGGGAGGCACAATTATCTGCAATAGCTTTGTTGCCAGACATTAAGTATTCAACTCAACTCTAATATAAAAAACAAGGTAAAACATTACTGTGAGAATGGGGTCTGTCTGTAAGACCCCTCAGCCCTGCACTTGGTCAGGTGGTCCCCTCCTCTCTGTTGCCCCTGCACCCTATTTGCCTGTGGGGTAGGATGAGTTTGGGCTCCAGTTTGTGATATACACCAGATACTTTTTTTTCTTTCTCAGATTGATTTTCATGGTTCCTATTCTGAGGCCCATTCAGCTGGTGATTTTGGTACTGTTTATTTATATTTGCCAAATTTTCTCCTTTGATTGCAATAGTTCACTTATAATGAAATCACTACTGTGCTTTAAATATGTATTTTTTATGTTTTGCCAGTAGCATATGCTTAACTGGCTATATTTAGTACTGCATTTCATTTAGAGTGAGACATATCTCTATTCAATATAGATACATTTATAAATAGTTGTATATGCATTGTTTTATTTAAAATACATTTTGTCATTGGTTTGTGTCATAATTTCAGAGAAACTTATATTTGGTTAAACTACGTTAACTGGTATTTCCTAATCTCTTTAGGTTTAAATTGAAAAAAAATCCATGTTTTTTTCTATAGTAAATTCCCTTTAAAAGATAAATTGGGTGGTGAATGGTATTTATTTAAAGGAATCCCTATGGTCTATTTTTCCTTAATGCAAAAAAAATTCTTTAGTTAGATGGATCATTCCTTCTTAGTTCATATACTTTGCTAGCATAGATATTTAAAGGAGTCCTTTTTCTTAAAGAAATGCCTGTCTAAAACAACAGAAACATGTATTGAGGAAGAATGAATAATTTTGTTTGTCTTGGAAGAAACATGCAGTGCTAGCACTAACCTATCAAATGTCCGTGTTCTTCTCATACCCCAGGAGGTGATGTGGTGAGCCAGTTTGAATTTAATTTTAACTACCTTGCTCGGCGCTGGTAAGAGCAATGTCCTTTTGGTTATGTGATCTCTAAATAGTACTTAGGCCTAATGTTGATAGATGTACATGTAGTTTTAAACACACATGTGTGTTTCGCTTTAGACTTGATTTAGGAGAAGTTTGGACACTTTCCTATTTTTTCTTCCGGGGAATCTTGCCTATTTTTTGTCTTTACTCTTTCACAAAAATTTAGAATCAAGTTGACATCAGGTTGACATATTTGAGGAAAAACCTTGTTGGAATTTTTTTTTTTTTGAGACTGGGTCTTGCTATGCAGTTCAGGCTGGCCTGGATTCACTATGTAGCCCAGGCTGGCCTTGAATTTTTAGTGGTCTTCCTGCCTCAGCCTCCCAAGTGCTGGGATTACAGGTGTGCACCACCACTCCCTATTCTTGTTGGAGTTTTGATTAGATGTTTATTTACTCTAGAGATGAACTGGAGCATAATTAGCAATTTGGCAATATCTAGTCTTTTCCATATGTGTGTTTCATTTTTCATTTACTTAAGTGTTCTTGAATGACTTTTCATAAATTTTTTTTAGCAAGTTCTTATATATCTTACTTTAGTCCCAAAGACTTTATATATTTCTTTGCTACCAAAAATAATTTTTAAAGTTACATTTTCTAATTAATTACTTATCTATAGAAATGCAGGTGACTTTTAAATTTTGATTTTGTGGGGCTGGGGATTTAGCTCAGCCACACAGCACCTGCTGGGCAAGTGCAAGGTCGTGAGTTTCTTGCTATATCATTCTGGCTAGTATCTCAAGTATATTGTCAGATGGAAGTATTGATATTGAGCATATTTATTTTGTAATTGATCTTAAGATGCTTTCAAAGCTTCCTTATTATCATGTTATGGAGTTTTATAGATTCTCTTTATTGAAGGAAGTTTCCTTCTATTTCTAGCTTATTAATATTTTTATGCATACATTAATATTAGATAGACTGAGTTAAACATTTACTGTGTATCTGAGATACTTGTGTTTCTTATGTGTTAATGTAATGAATTTTATTAATCTATTTGCTACTACTACATCAAGCTTACTGCCTGGGGCAAAACCAATTCTGTCATGATGTATCATCATCTTTATATTTGTTGCTTATGTTGTTATTGCTTAGGATTCTTTTATTTGTATTTATGGGTTAACATGTACAGTTTTCCTTTTTCTTTTTAAAAAATTTTGGTATCAAGGCTGGAAACAATCAGAGCGTGTCTTTTCATATTCTTTGGAAGCTTCTATAATACTAGAACTTTGATTCCTTGAATGCTTGATAGAATCTGCCTATAAAGCTGTCTAGTGCTGTTGTTTTCTTTGTAGGAACTTTTATGAAAACTTCTTTAATGGTTTTAGGATTATATAGTTTCTCAATTTCTTTTTAAGGAGTTCTGTTTTTCTAGGATTTTTCCATTTTAAGTATTTAAACATTTTGGTACAAGATTGTTCATAATATCAACTTATTAGCTTTTTGCCCCTGTTTTATTTGTACTTAAATGTTCCCTTTGTTATTCATAATGTATATGGCTCGTTCTCATTTTTAAACAATCTTGCATAATATCTTTCACTTTTATTATTTTAAAGAATGAACTTTGGCCTTATCAATCTTCCCCATTATGCATTCACTTTCTTCCTCTCCTTCTCCCTCTCTCTTTCCTCTTTCCCTATCTCCTTCCTCCCTCCTTTCCTTCCTTTTTACTTGTGGTACTAGAAATTGAACCCAGGGCCTTTGGACTGAGCTACATCCCAAGCCTTTTTATTTTTTATTTTGAAACAGTGTCTTACAAAGTCAGCCAAACTGGGCTTGAGCTTTCAATCCTTCTGCCTCAGCCTCCCAGAGTGCGGGGATTACAGGCATGTGCCGCCTGTGCCCGGCTTATATATCCATTGTCTATTTTATTATTTTCAATTCTTAATTATTTTCTTCCTTATACCTTCTTTGGGCTTCTGTGAAATTCACTGTCTTCATTTGTATCCTAGATTATGACCTATTTCTGTAAATATTCTTTTTTAAAAATTTTTTATTTTATTTGTTTTTTTCCCTGGTACTGGGAATCGAACTCACGACGTTGCGCTTGCCTGGCAGGCGCTGTGCTGCTGAGCTACATCCCCCGCCCCCAAATTTTTTATTTTAAAGAGTATTCTGTAAATATTCTATGAGAGGTTGAAAAGATTAATTTTTCCATTTTTAGTTTAATATTAATATTTGGTTATACTTATTAGCTTTAACTTATGAAATCTACTATTTAAATAAAATGATTTGTAAACTGTAACTAAGATACTTTTACTATTTCTTTATTAGGTTGACCTAATGATTACCCCCAAGGGAGAATTGTTTAAAAATTCTCCCATCTTGATGATTTTTCAACTTTTTTCTGTTGTTCTGTCCATATACATACAGATTTTGAAGACACAGTATGAGACATAGTCAAGTTTCAAAGTCATCTTTTTCTGGGGAATTGAACATTTTGTCATGACTTAGTGACTCCTTTACTTCTAACAATGTGTATTGCCTTTATATGTACTTTTTTCAGCTTTGACTGCTGTTGTACTGGTCATCTTTGGTTGTATTCACGGTACTTGAATTAGTTGGGCTTCTCTTTCTCCAGCAAGGGTCTGCTTTGGCTTCTGCAGATTACCTTGAAGTCCTGTTATCTGGGTCATTTTTTACTTACACTTTGACCCCTGATGTTTTTGGACTGAACAGGTAGCAGGGATGCAGGACAGAACACTCATAGGGCGGGCCAGTGGGGCTGCCAATTCTCATCGCAATGTGTGGCTTACCATTGCTGAGGATGTACATATATCCTTTTCCTTCTCTCTCGATTGCCAAGATGAAAACAGGCAGGTTTCTTTGCTGTGCTTTTTTGTGTGTTGGTTTATTTCTGGCCCATATTCCTGCAAAATGTCTGGCGTTTTGTACTCTGGACTTAATGTAGAGATGGTCCACTTCGGGTGGTTCCTGTGTTCTATCTCCTGTCTCGTGTGAGCCATCAAAAAATTCTTCAGGTTCTCAGGAGCTGGCAGATGTCATGGGAGAAGGTGCTGCTCTCCTGTGCTTACCTCCCAAACTTCCTAGTTCCTGTTTGTTTTTGGTCTTTGGAAATATTCCACTTTCTTGTTAGCTTAGTGATTCATTAAAACAAATATTTCTTGTTATTTTTCTCTAGTCTTTTAAACTATGTTCATTGGGAAAAGTCATTCCAGTGTTCTAAAATAAAAAATGGACTTGCTGCTCCTTCCTTTTTTGTAGATATACTTAAATCAGATGTTATTCATTGTAACTTTCTTCTTGTCAATTCTAAGATTTTTTTTTTAATTCTAAGATTTTGAAATTAAGATAAAAGATGATTCAGTACACATCTAAATCCAAACCATATGGCTCTTCTTCCAGATAAAATAGCTAATATCTGAACCAAAAACGGCGCAGAATTCTTTTCACTACTTTACCCTGTATACTCTGAAACTAGCATGTCAGGGTGAGGAGCCATATCTGGTGTTTATAAAAAATGATTCTTCAGAATAGTTAGACTCAAAAGAGTAAAAAATCTTAATTTTTTTCTTGAACTCTGGATTAATAAAATTAAACATTTTTTTGCATTTCATAGTTTCCAACCTTTGACTATCCCTTCCTAAGTACTTAGGGTACCAGCTGTTTGCTCTGTACCACTGAGCCAGAGATTTGACTTTTCTCTGCCCCCGCTTTCCCCTAATGTAAAATGTGAGTGTGATAGAGGCACTGGGAGTATTACGGTAATGGTATCTGCTATATAATAATTATGGAATAACTGGAGCTGCTGTTGTTTCTATTGCTGTTATATTCAACTTCAGAATCAAAAGGCTTTATTTTAATGCATTTCTCAGGTATGTGCCTGTCAAAGATCTACTGGGCATCTATGAGAAACTCTATGATCGAAAAGCCATCACTGAAAATATAATCGTTGAGTGTTCATACCTTCAGTTCTTGGAAATGTGAGTGTGACCCAGGGGAAACTCCAACCGATCTTACTGTGACTTTTTAGGGTGCTTTCCATGTGTTAGTGCCTAGGACTGGATTTTGGATTTACAGATTTTACTTATTTGAAGGCAAATGCATGATCATTGGGTATATGTGGGTAGCGCTTTTCTTTCATATTTGCTTCGTTTCTCTATAGAAACTGAAATTCTCAAAACGATCATTTCTGTTGCAGGTATGGAGAGATGTTAGCTGTTTCCAAGGTAAAGATTTTATTCTTTGAAATCTTAGCTTGCAGGAGTCTACAAAGGACAGGAATCGCACCTTACTTATTTTTCTTTTCTCTCTGCTGTAGCTATATTTCACCTACTCCACAAAGTCCCCATTTTTGGTGGAACATTTCCAAGAGTATTTCCTTGGAGGACTGGATGATATGGCATTCTGGTCCACAAATATATACCGTCTGGTGAGCTTCATGCTAGAGAATGGTACCAGGTGAATTATTCCTCTATTTCTTACACCAATCCTCTTTGTCTTTCTTTCTTTTTTTTTTGTCTTTTTGAGACAGAGTCTCGCGATGCAGTTCAGGCTGTCCTTGAGCTCACTTTGTAGCCCAGGCTGGTCTCGAATTTGCGATGATCCTCCTGCCTCAGCCTCCCAAGTGCTGGGATTACAGGCATGCACCACCAAGCCTGGCTCCCTCTTTGTTTTTCTACCCTGTTCCCTAGAGTAATTCTCAGGCTTCTGAACTAATCAAACAAAAACAAGACCAGATAGTCTCATGGACTATAGTGTTATTAAAAAGGAAAAGCATAGAAACTTCATTATCTCAAAAAATTTGATGGGTTCCTACCCATTTGGCTTAGCTGATATCAAGCACATTTTGGGGATAGAGAGGCAGATGCTGTGGTCTGTGAGAATTCAGACAGGAAGGAATCAGCCTCTGGGTTGTGCGCCTGAATGGTGGGGCAGGAAGGCCTGCTCCCAAGGTTGTGAGGAGGGTGCATCACTGAGCTGGGGCTGAGTGTGTGGCCACCCTCCTCTCCACCCAGACTGGCCTCTCGGGCCCAGGGTTGTAAGGAGTTCTTCATCTCACAGAGGATGGAGGTCGCCAAGACCTCAGCCACACCTTTCCTCCAGAAGAAAAGATGCTTTGTGAAGTGCAGCCTATCCTGGAAAATCAAGAAGCAGCCGAGATGGGACAGCTGTTGAACCCCAGGTCCTTTTCTTCCTCTCCTGGGCATGCTCAGGACAGGAGTTAACCAGGGACTCGGCCCAAATACAGATGGGGTAGTGGAGTCGTCCAAGGGCATCAGAATCTCTCGAAGAAGTCGACAGCAGTGCTGGTACAAGTCCTCCAACTGCGGAGCTGGGTGGCCAGGCATGGGGAGGAAGCACAGTAGGCGGCACTTTAGGGAAAGGGTGGACCGAAGGTCAGGTGGTGAGGGGGGGAAGCCAGTGCTGCAGGCAGGAGCCAAGCCCAGGGGGATGGTTCCAGGGCAGGATCCTGGGAGGGGTGTGTGTATGTGTGTGTTTATAAATTCGAGTGGCTGATAGCAGAGCCCTAGAATATACATGGGACGATGTTCTTGTGCCTTTAAAAACATTTCCTCCTATCCCATAATGTTTACCATAATTACCTGTTGTGTTGATTTGAAACAAGATGCCCTTTGATGAGTTTGACTTTAGCTTAGGAAGCTTGTTTTGAAACCTCAGTAAGTAACAATTTGGCAGGGCTATGGAATCTAATAAAATGACATTTTTAATAGCAGAGAAGCCTCAAGTTTGATTGCCAAGCCCTGCCTTGGTGGCTGGACGTATTAGGTGCAGGCTGTAGCAAAGTCTCTTTGAGACCTGCCACTCCCACTGAGTTACCTAGGACAGGCTGGTGTCCCTCCCTGAGCCTTAGTGTCCTCATCTGTAGAATGGGCACAGTAATTATTCTGTCATCAGGGGGGTGACGAGTACATCAGTGTGCTCATGCCAAGGATTTAGCATGTAGTAAGCACTTAGAATGTTGGCTCTGTTATTATAATTACTATTAGAAACAAGCTAAGTCTGTATTGGGAGGGTTTGTAGCATTTGGTTGCATTAGGGTGAGTGACCTCATTTCTCTGTTTTATGTCATCCATGTGTAACGAGCCTGAAGCTGGAAAGTGCACTTTGGCATTTGTTTTGGTTTGGTTCCACACGCAGCTAAGGAAGGAGGGACTGCTGGACCACATCCTTTACTCAGGAAGGAATAATTGAACAGAGTCTATTTCTTGTCCCTTGATCTGTGTCATAGTTTACCAGGACACAAAATTCTACAAATCCATTGCTTCTTTACACACAAAGAAAGATTTGTCTGAATTCATGGAAATTTTGAAAAGCTTCCAAAGGAGGTAATACAAATAAATTCATGATAGGAAAAATATATACATATTTTCATATTAACAGGCGTTTTCCAGCTGACTAGTAATGGGTTATTTTCCAAAGCTCATTTATGATTTGAAATTCTTACTTTTCTAAGAAATGATGCATTATTGTCTTTTTAAAGCAGTGTAATAGGATTCATTAGGCAGAAATATAAAAATAGACACTGAAAGTGTGGCATGCTAGTTTGGAGCTAGGACTACTTATGTGTTTTTGGCAGTGGAAATGCATGAATTTGTGAATCTATAGGAAGTCCCATCATGGTCTTAGTTTGTGGGGGAAAAGGGCGGCCCACCTACAGAAAGAAAATTGCCCATTTTACAGTGGAAGGCATGAGCTACACCAGTTTTTTTTGATGGGTAATCTAAAATGTTTTGCCTGAGAACATTTTAAACTCTTGGTGTGTTCCTTAACCTTAAGAAAAGTTTTCTGCCCTTTACTTTATCAACTAAGCTTCTTTAGGAAGTATCTTTAAGAGATTTTGAGTGTGATGAGTCTAGAAGAAAAGACGCCTTGCTCATTTTCCCAGTCTGCTCTCTAATTTGCCATCCTCCTGCCTCAGCCTCCCAGAGTACCGGGATTACAGGGGTGAACCACGATATCCATCCCAAACTGTCATTTTAATCCTGGTGAAAGAGGACTCAGAACATTTTCCTCACCTCAGAGCTGGGAGGGAGCAGTCAGTGGGACTGAGCTTGCCTTCAGCTTTGCTCTGCCTCCTTTTCTGAAATCTTTCCCAGCCACGTTTCCTCGCCCTGTGCTCTGTTCTGTTGTCAGGTGGCTGAGCCTCCCCGACTGACTGTCGTGCACAACCTATGCTTTTCCTTCAGTGTGGCCTCCTATAGCCCTGCCCCAGTGATTCTTTTTTTTTTTTTTTCCGGTGCCGGGAACCGAACTCACAACCTTGCACTTGCCAGGCAGGTGCTATGCCGCAGAGCTAAATCCCCAGCCCCTGCCCAGTGCTTTTTTTCAGAACTGGAGAAGCCCCTGTGGGAAGAGTCCATCCCAGTACCTCAGAGGTCTCTTCGCTTGTAATGGGGCTACTTCGTTTCCTATTTGTTTAACTTGTATACTTGTCTAATTTTTTTTTTTTTTTTTTTTTTTTTTGTAGTCCAGGCTGGTCTTCCACTCACAGCAATCCTCTTGCCTCAGCCTCCCGAGTGCTGGGACTATAGGTGTGCGCCACCATGCCCGGCTCTAGAATTGTTTTAAAAGAGCAAAGTTGAGCGATTCAGACCTATTTGAGTGGAAATGGGCATAACTGGGTGGACGATGATGTAGAGAGGAGCGATTTCTACCAAATTCCAGGACATCTCACATTAGCTGAAGTAGTTTGGCAGGGGGCGGGCACGGGGAAGTGGAGTCTGAGGCGTGGGGCTGTGGGACCCTTTCCCCAGCCGCAGTCACCTTAGCCACCTGTCTGGAAAGACTCTGGCTTCCACTGGGTCCTGTATGGCCAGGCAATGAACGCCTTAAGCTTTTTGAGGGGGCTTTAAACTGCACCCCTGACTCTCGGTAAAATTCATGCTTTCAAAGAAGGTGGACAATGCCTGACACACCGCACTATTCCCCAGCAACTGCGACCTTCCCGAGAACCCTCTGTTCATTGCATGTGGCGGCCAGCGAAACAACAGCCACAGGTGAGTGGATTCCAGAATCATTCACCTGAAAAGATAATCTCGCTGGGGTGGGAGGGTGAGGTTGAGGATGTGGAATCTGTAGACCAATATCTGTTTAAATTCTACCAATGCCATGCAGAGCCATGTGACTTTTAAGCAAGATGCTGAAGTTTTTGTGGTTTTTTTTTTTTTTTTTTTTTTTTTTTTTTTTTTT